GTAATTCCATGTTTGTAGGACTGGCATGGGTCAGTACAGGCAATTGAACTCATTTTAGTTTATGATGAGCTCTTTTTTGTATTTGTATTTGTTGCTGTCATGTGAACAGCTTGCAATGGATCTAGAGATGGAGACAGATTTATTTTTTTGTGGTAAAAAATTCTAAACCAGAAGTCCCATGTTCATTGACAACTAGAAAATACATCTATCAATTGCCATGTTTTCTGGAAAAGCAAAGTATCAGAAATACATTAACTGCATAAACGTTCTCTGAAGCATTTGTTGCAGCATGACTCTCATGTTAAATGGATGAATATTTTTGTTCTTACATCTATTACCTTTCAGTAGTACCATTCAGAAAGCTCACTTGAGTGAATTTATTTTTCTGGGAATACATCAATCCTATGAATCAAAATGACACTTTTTATGTGTGCCAAGGATATTCATTGTATTTATCTGTATATGAAAGAAATATATTTACCATTTGAATTACAACACCTCCATATATTTATCTGTTACTTCTTAAAGCCTCACAAGCAAATCAAAGTTTTTATACTGTATTTGAATTGTTGATTTTAAAATGGCCTTGTAATGGTTACTTACTTAGGTGGAATTCTGAATCATCCACAATAGTTAAATGAATCACTAGTGTACTCAGGGCCAACTCCAGGCATAGGCAGAAGAAGCAGTTGCCTAGGTAGCAAACTACAACAGACAGCTTAATTATACTCCCCTAGCTATGCCATGTTGCTGGAAAGCCACTCTGACTGGCTAAAACTGGTGAAAAGGTCAGGGTACATGGGCTAGAAGTTGCTGCTGCATGGAACTGGGGAAAAGGAAAAAGGCAGTAAGTCTGATGTGAAATTCTGCTGTCCCAGTTCAGCCTTACCTCATCTCCCTCTGTTTTATTGTTGAAGGAATGGCCTTACCTCCCTGGACTTAGAATGGCAACATTCACTTTTGACTATGTGGTGAGAGGTCTTGAGCTGGTTCTGAAAGCTGTTATGTTAGCAAAACAGAAAGCAGTTTAACTGCCATTATAAGAAACCTATTTACATTACCTTTAAAAATGTCCGTTGTATTTTTCCACTTTCCCAGATGATTGAATGCCATATCTGATGTGATGAAAAATTCAAAGAGTTTAAGACTTTTGAATTTTCTTGTTCGTTCCTATATTACCAAGTTTGACAATGTCTTTTGAGAGGTACATCTGGTCTTTATTAAATACTTCAAATTAGAGAGGATCCACCATTATTATTTGAAAAGCTCTTCCAGTCTTAATTATTACCAGTGTTAATAATGTATAACTTAACATCATTAAATTTTGAGCTTCAGGTTCCAACTATTTGATCATCTTATACCTCATGCTATTAATTTAAAAACCCTCCAATATAACTGTATAGTGATCTACAGACTGATCAATTTGCATCCTAATTTTAGCTTTCCAAAATTTAAATAGAGCCTTCACTTCAACATGGGTCAGCTAAGAACTGTCTGCTGCCCTGACGCACTATTCAAGCTCGTTTTGAATGTATTAGTTTGGGTTTCAGAAGAAGTTGTTTCATTAATACAGCATGTTATCTATTCCAGTCAGCTAAGGTTGTTACAGCTACCATGTGGTGCTACACTGTGTTGTACAGACATAATCAATCTCTCTGGAAACATTTACAGCTGAAAGATAATGACAGCAAAGGCACTCAGAATAACAGAGTACAGATGGAGAAGACACTTTAATTATCAGGCAAAACTGTAATAAAAGTGGAACCTTCCCAAAATTTAGCTTTTACAAAAATCTGGGTTAAATCCAAAAGAACTGAATACTAACTCCAAAGGGAAAACAAACAAACAAAAAAACCAAAAACCAACCAACAAACAAACAAACAAAACCACGGAGTTCACTGTATTGCCTATAATCCAGACTAAGTAAATGAAATTAACTGGTTTATTGTTAGGATCTTAATATTTCTGCATCACTTTTTTCATATGAATTAAAAGAGGCCAGTGACAACATGTTCAACATTTAGCAAATTAAATATTAAAATTGACCTGCTTGAAAATGTTTTAAAATGTAATTTTGACAAATACTGGCAATACTGAGCTCTTACTTTAAAAGTCTCAATAGTTTCAAAATTTCTAGGTTCCCTGTTCTCAAATTGTTACGGTTTTATAACATGGTTTAAATATTTGGGATTTTTAACTTATTCAGGAACAAACAAACAAACAAAAACAACATGAGAATTAGGTATGGAAGGATTCAGTCAGCTTCACAAAGGCTGTTATTGTTAATGTAGTCTCAAAAAGAAGTGTTTTTTGTTAATTCCTGCTTCCAGATATGCACCATTTCAGGTGAACTAAACTAAGGAAAACTATAAAGCTGGGATATAATGTTCATTTTGCCAGCTGAGATGTTGTGATTTTGTGTTTGTCAGTTGTGATAAACCGTTATCCTGGAAAAAGAAAAAGAAAAAAGAAAAAAAAAAAAAAAAAAGAGGAGATGGGAGATGGGTATAAACATAAACAACTGCACATGAAAAAGGCAGTAAATTACTCCTTTCCAAGTAACCCTCATTAATGCTAGTTTAAAGCACTTGTAGAGCCACATCTCTCCATTTAGTACAACTACTTCCTAGTAGTTGTGTTAAATCTAATGAAACTGTGAAAAGTAAGATACACCACTAAGTTGGATGAATGTGGCCTTCACTGTCAGCTAATCATTTAGGAATATTTAGGTAGAATGGGTTAAGTATTATGTAAATTCAAAGCACTGTGCTGCAAACTGTGATGTTCCACTTTAACCAGAGTTTGCCCATTTCACTGTAATAAAGAGTGAACTAATACATGCTACTCCAGCCCACACTCCTTTTAATGCAGTAATTTTTGTTCAAGTAAGTGCAGTGTTTGAATTCTTTGTAATCTAAATCATCTACATGGCTGTCTTAAATATTGTTTGGTTTATAAAAAGCAAAACCAGAAAATACTATTAATCACTACTGCCAACCTCAGCGTACCCATATGGGCTGTAATCTGAAGCTTTACAGTTTTTTTAATGCTTCTAAAACTCTAAATATAAGCTTGTACATTAGTATAATGAATAGAACTACAACAAATATGCTTAGTTAAGATTTGTAGTTGTATTCTTTCACTATAATAACTAATTTAGTATCTCCTTAATCATATTATTTGGAGACAAATGTGTAGATCATTATAGTTTTTATTTTCAGTCTTATGATTTAATTGCTACCCTGTAGGTTCTGCTTGTCCAGCACAAAGATTTTTCAAATATATTCCTCATAGGATGGGCCATATATTTAAAAATCTCTTTAAGCTAATTCTAATTTATGGGTGCTAACAAATAAGCATAATACATATTGCTAGTGGAAGGTGATCAGTGAAGGGGTACTGTTGATTTAGGCCCAGATCGAAAGCTTACAAAGACAGGAGAAAGAAAAAAAAACTATGTGCGTCACTGAATTTTCAGCAGTGACTGACAATATGAGGATTGCAAAGTTACAGCTGATATATCTCTGCTAAAATAAAACATCCTGGATTTGCTATATCAAAACCGAAAGATAGGTAGGTCCCTATGCATTGATTCTCCATGCATGACCTCAATTTGTAATCCACATGTAAAACATCAAAGCAGTATTATATAAAAAACTTATTTGTCTCACTAAATTCTGATGTTAAGCTCTCTGCACTACAGAAACATGTATTTGATCATTCACATGTCTGGTGAATATATCACGTTTCTTCAAAGCTTAATGCCACGCGAAATGTGCTTTTATTTTATTTTGCTTGTTTGTTTGAGGGGGTGGCAAGAATTTATTTAATATTAAGAGTTTCTGAAATGTCCAGACACTCGGGCAAGGAAAAGACAAGTCCTTCCTCCTTCAGTCTTTTGGTTCTGTTAACATTAATTTGCCAACCTACTCTATTTAAATAAGGCATCATTTAAAGATTACAAAACAGCCATACAATCAGCAAGCCTTGAATACTCCAATGATTCCATAAATACAACATTGTTGGCAATAATTTCTACAGTTGATGACAAGTTTCCATGGTGAAAAATGTGCACCAGTCTAGCTCTGCACAGATGTTGTTCCAGTTAATGTGATTCCTTAAAATTTTGCACTGCATTGTGCTGATCTGCTGTTGGGAATCATCCTGAGGTCTCACTGCTGTATACAATGTCATTCTTCACATATTTAAACCACTTCCACTAAAGACTGTTTGATAAAAAACATCACTAAAGTAAGTATAAACAGTTTCATTTACTTCATATGCAGTGTCTGAGATAGTTATGAATGGACTTAAAATTACTCCTCTAAACAGCTGGCATTTGTAAAATGCAGTTTCACAATCTACTTAAGCTGGCCTAAAACAGCGTAGCTCTGTTGTGTCTGTATGAGCAAAAATGTAGCAACGAGGCTGCCAACTCCTGGAACACAAACGGGCTGGCAAGAGCACACAGCTGGAAGAGAAGGAGTGCAGAACTTTTGGCAGTAGCACCGTCCTGCATCTCTCTGCTGACAGTGACACCAGGCTGGAGTGATGCTCTGCCTTGCAGTGCTGGAGAATTCCAACTGAAAGAAGATACTGCAATATGGAAAAACAACAAACCCATCAGCACCATCAGAAATGGTAACTTTCCTTCTTTCTGTTCTGCTTGTTAATAATAAGCAGAGCTATGTTATTTTTTTAGTGTTAATAAAATTAGGATATTCATGGGTTCATTTATTTATTTGTTTGTTTGTTTGTTGCTTGCTTGCTTGCTTGTGTTTTTTTTTGTTGTTGCTTTTGCTTAGTTACAACTGTTAAGTAAATATGAAAAATTGAACATGAGCCATCAGTGGGCACTTGCATCCTGAACTGCATCAAAAGAGGGGTGGCCAGAATGGGGACGGCCTTAGTCTTCCCTCATGAGGTCCCATCTGGAGTACTGTGTCCAGGCCTGCGGCATTCAGCACAGGAAGGGTGTGGAACTTTGCAGCAGATCCAAAGGGCCACAAAGATGATGAGAGGGCTGGAGCATCTCTACTACGAAAAAAGGTTGAGGGAGTAGGGCTTGTTTAGCTTAACCAAGGCTCCAGGGAGATCTCACTGTGGCCTTCCAGTATTTGAAAGGAGCTTTGTATGCCGGAGAGGGACCAGATAGTGATAGAACAAGGAGAAGACAACAGAGATAGAACAAAAATGAACGGAACTAATAGAGAGGAGATTTCTGTTAGATGTTAGGAGAAGTTCTTTACTCAGAGGGTGGTGAGGCACTGGCACAGGCTGTCCAGAGAAACTGTGAATGTCTGTTCCATAGAGGCACTCAAGATCAGGTTGGATGGGTCCCTGGGCAGCCAGATCTGGTAGGATCATGGCAGGAGGGCTGGAACTGGATAGTCTTAAAAGTTCCTTCCAATCTAAGCTATTATCTGACTCAATTACTCTATGAAATGCATTTTAATATAAACAGAATTAAAAATGACCTGTTAGAGCAGTACCACCACATGCTGTCTTGCTCCTTTGTGTGTGTGTGTGATTTACAGTCTGTTTCCCCTTTACTCACTCAAATCCCAAAACATTGGAATTTAGATGTGTCAACTGTTTATACAGTTTACATTCATAAATTTTCATCAGCAACTTCAGATTTCTCCCTCCAAAAATGCCTGGTTAGTTGGTACTGTAGCTTTTAATTATGTTTCAGCTATGTGTGGTTACAGAGAGAGAAAGAGAACTTGGATTTAGTAAAAGTCAGTGTCACAGGCTGAGACTGATATGAGGAACCGATCCCTGTCCTGGAAGGGCACTTCATTCCAATATCCATTTGCTGGAGAATGTGTGAGCTATGCCAGGGAGTTCTCCTTTCTGATACAGTTAATACATTTATGCATGTATGTTTCTCTGTGTGATTATATTAATGAAAATTAACATGATTTTGACTTTAAATTTAGGAGTTTATGTACTTTTGCTACTTGAGGAATTAGGTAGAAGTTTCAAGAGTCCACCATTACCACACATTTTATTATCTCAGTTCAGATCCTACCTAAACTACTTAGCTCTTTTCATGTATATACATCAAATTTTCATATTTGAACTTTCGTATTGTTATTCTTTGACAATGCCAAATATTTACTTGCAATCCAGTCAATTATCCTACTCTTCATTCATCTGTTAGCACTTGGCCTGGAGTCAGGCACTAGCATTTACAAGATCACTCAAATGGTTGCTTGTAGTATCCATGCAAAATGCAATCCCTGTATCAGTACATTAGAGCAAATCTCCAACAATGATCCAATGTTATATCTAGAAATGACAGCAAAGTCACTTCCCCATGTGTCAAAACTGATTTTTTTGGTAGATATTTGATTATTTTTTTTTCATGATAAGAATGACAGTCATTCTTCACAGATGAAGAATATTTGAAATTTCATGAATATACTGCAAAGAATATACTGCAATTTGGTGCCAGGTGCTCAGTGTTTCCACTAAACAAGAACAATAACAAGTAATTTGCTTTCACAATTAACAATTGTTCTGAATGTAACCCTGATTTTACTGGTCACTCCTCAAACGGTACTATGCAACCAGCTATAGCAGAATGCTTTTTCAGGCTCATTTCATGGAAAAGAAGGTTACAACTCATGATCACTATTCGTAATTACCTTAAACCAGTTCCTCTGAAGTTTAGTCCACTTAATTGTTTCTCTTGGATTCACGAGTTGCTGCTTTGTGTTTCTTTTTCTTTTTTTCCCCGTCTATCCTTCAGTTGTAGTGTAGTAATTATGCGTGTCTGCTGTCTATTGGAAATTGCTAATAGAAAAAAATAACTGAATATTAGTTGCAACACATTTGTTATTTTCTCATGATATTTCTCTGTCTCTCATTATGTTACCCTCAAAGCACCTACCCAAAAAGCTGGAAGGTTCTCAGTTGAACATTCCCACGAAGTACTGAGTGACTATGGGAGGCTCTTCATTTATGGCTGCTCCCAAGCTTTCAGACATCCTGTAAAACTAAGGAACAACACAGTGAAAGCTGAACTTTGAAAATGGAAGCAGTAAAGTCATTTACTGTACATATAAATGATTCTAATTATGTAACAGCCAGAGTCTCCTGCAAGTTTATCAGGCAAGAGTGCTTTCCTGCTATCCCAACAGCAGTAAAGGAACTGCTCTTTTTCTTTTGAAAAAGACAGAAAGTAAGAAGGTTTCACTTGATGAAATTATACTTTGTTAATGATATTCTTGCTTTGCCATTTTTTTAAGCAGAAAATTAGTCTTAATTTTTCTGCTAATGCAACATCTCTGACTGTGTGAAAGAGATTCAACAGAAAAAAAATCACATGCCTTACAAATGCCTTCACTGTCTTTTTAAGAATACTCTGTCAAAATGGTATCATTTCTGAATATACGGGGCAGTCAGTAATTTATTTTTTTCACGTTTCTCCATAAGTATCATACTGAAATTCAATGCTGTTAATGTGAAAAATCTCAGCATAGATGCCACAGATAAGGGATCTTGGGAGAGCTTTAGTATGGTTTTAATCTAAGAAAGGTCCTCCACGTGTTCTGCTCCTTGGGATTACTTGACAATTTATAGAAGTCATTCTCTGAGACTTAATGTATTGCAGAATGGGTCAGCCTTGGAAGGGGAAAAAGAAAAAAACAACAAAAACCGTAACAGATACAATGCAAGATATAATGGGAACAAAGGAAAAGGAAAAAGTGTTTCCACTTGTAGTGTGTCTCAGTGTTTCTACTATCTTAAAGAGGAAAGCAGACTCTTGCTAATTTATCATGTAAATTCCTTCTGATGGAAGCATAAGACCCAGGCAATAATCAGTAGTTTTTCCTCCTAAGCAAAGGTCACATCTAAAGGATTAGGATGATGTCAGATGTAGTTTATAACCAATGTGCACAATTTAATAATGCAGTCCTTCTAAGATGCTCTCTGTGGCGCAAGGAAACAGAATCGGCATCCATGATGCATGACCATTCCGTATTCATTTCAAAACAGAAAAGGGAGTTGCACTTTTGAGTATTCCTTATTTTGCCTAATTTATAGCTAAGACTTTGCAGGAAGAAAAGTTAAGAATCCAGGTTATGCCTTGGAAGAAGCAGTGAAGCAGAAGTTCTTGGGTTAACGAAAGCACACATGCTTTGAAGTACGGTTTACAAACCCAGTAATTGGAAACATATTAAACATATCACTTCTCCTAGAAAGTACAGCCTACCGGAGCAGGGCTGGCACGGCACTGGGCGGATGACACAGCCCGAAGGTTCGGCAGGCCGCCACCAGCAGCGCGAGGAGCGCTGCGAGCCCGACAGCGGCGTTATCGCTCCGAAGCGCGGGCACCAAGGAGCGCTGCCCATCAGAATCTGCGGGCCCCACACCGTGAGTTGCGAAGCAAAGGTTTCCTACGTACCACTACGGCTTTATGCCGTACTTCAGAAGCCTTCTGCTCAAGCTGACGGAGAGCCATTTTAGTGTCTCGCATAAAATAAACCGTCTGTGCCGGGAGGTACTTGCAAAACGCGGGACCCCTCCAACAGGCGGATGCTGCGCATCTCCGTGCTTCCTGAGGCACTTTTACGCATTTATTTCTCCCTCATAAAGTTGCGAGCTGCACATCAGACGGCTCCCCCCGCCCTCCTACCCACCTGCTCCCCCAACCCGAGCCCTCCCTCCCCGCGGACTCGGGGGAGCCGCCCGGCCCCGCCTCCCCCCCACCATCCGCCGCTCCCGGGCCCAGCCCCCCCGCTCGGGCCCCGGCCCTGCCCCCGGGCGCGCCCGCTGCGCTCCGCTCTGCCGGCAGCCCGCTGCCGAGGCGTGGGGGCGGCGGTGGCATCGCGGTGGCGCGGGGCTGGGCTGGGCGCGGCGGCCGCCTCACGCAGTCGCAGGGAAGAGAGCGGCCGGGAGCGCCGGCGGAGCCGGGGTGCGCTCGCCGCGGAGGGCCGGCGGATTCCTGCTCCGCGGGAGGGCTCCGCCGAGCGCGCCGCCTTCCAGCCGCAGTGACATCCCCGCCGCTCCGCTTGATCGCCGGCTGCCCGCCGCTCCCCGCAGCGCTCCGCGAGCCGCCGGAGGAGGGTCAGCCCCGAAGTTGCGGCCAGTCCGGGTGAAAAGTAGCGGCGAGGCGGAACGGGCCGCGGCCGAGCCGAGAGGGGAACGGTACAGCGCCTCGCCACCCCCTGTGCGGTGGCTGGCTCGGCGCCTCGGACCCCGCCCGCACGGACAGCGCCGCGGGTAAGTCGGGCTGAAGCCGCGCGGGGGCAGACGCGAGGAGCCGGGCCGAACGGGGCGCCCGTACCCGCCGCCCAAACTTGCTCAAGTTGTGCGGCCCCGGGGCGGCGGCGCGGCCCGGCCGGCTCCGGGCGCCCTCTGCTGGCCACGGCGTGCCGCAGCGGGCGGCCGCGGGGCTGTGGCGGTCAGGGGCGATCGGCTCCCGGCGGGCATCCCGGCCCCGTAGTGGTTTGTTGGGGATGCGAGCACCGCTGGCTTTTGGTGGTGTGTTCTCGGTGTCGTTTATTGGGTAGCTTGTGGCAGCGTGACGGGAAAATGTGCCCTGAGTCTTGGGAGTCGCGTAGGGAAAGGTGGAATAACGAGAGTTGAGGTCACCAGTGTGAATTTCCATTTTGACAAAGAGAAATGTGAAATTCTGAAAATGCCCCTTTTTAATTAAATTTCTTTGGGAAAAGAGAAAAAATGCATTAACCCTCAACTTCCCCGAAAACATTATCAGTTCCCTGTGACTGAGTAGCCTGTGTTCTGACACCTGCATAGCTTCAGAGAACTTCTGTTTGTGTTTCCACAGAAAGAACCAACATGCAAAAAGGAAGGAAAACCAAAACTGCTCTTTTGGCAGAAAAGCATTGGCTTTCAGCTCCTTTCATATGTTTTTGTTTTGCTTCGTAATGGGAGGAGCAGGATTCTTTGAATCATTGAGTCAAAATTTGGGCAGCATTGGCTGAAGATGAGATGAAAGAAGACTTGAATATATGTCGATACTCCCTGACTGTTAATTCAGACAAACTTTTTACTAACGGAGGGGAATAGTGGTTAAAAGCACCATGGACTCATTTAAAGGAGCTGATGAATGATTTTTGCCCTTTTTCTTTTTTTTTTTTTTTGTTTTTGTTTT